CGCTCGGCGCGACATCTGTTGGTTTTCAGTCGCGACTTATAGCTTGACTGCTCGGCAATGAGGCTATGAATTTATGATAAGCTCAAGTCAGGATTATTTTGAATTATGCAGGCTGCGTGCTGTGCTTTTTGGTTCTTTCAGATTACCTCCGCGGAGCGGCGTGCGGGAACCTGTTGTACCCGCCAAAATATTCTCCTTTTGGATAGGTCGTTAAAGAGGGAACGGGAGGGGGGTGGCGTTTAAACGGTGTGCGCGGAGCAGATACGAAAAAGTTTACCCCTGCGTAGAGCAGTAAGTTGTTATAACTTATCCTTGCGGCTTGAACGTCGGTTTTTCTTCCAAAATATTTCAAATACGTCTTTTTAAAAATCAAGGGCACGCAGAGACCTAGGTGTTCAATGTATACATTTTCATTCATCAAATACAATTGTACGAAATCGGACACTCTATGATGGTGCCTTCTTCTTTGCCTTCCGAGATCGTTACTGGAATCGAGTCCATCAGGCAGAACGGATTTAAGTATCCTATGTCGCCACAATTTTATAATTTGTTGTGGCCTGTGAGGAACTGTGACTAGCTTTTACAAATACTTTCACACAAAAAATATCAAATTATTTCTCATTGATCTTAACACGCATACTGTTGAAAGCATTGGGAGTAATTTAATTTGCTCATGAATATAATATGTGTTTTTTGTTAGTTCTGCTGTGAACATGTTCAGGAGGACACCACAAAAAGCAGCCGAAGAAGCGTGCACTGTATAATCGCGGCTCAATGCCAGAGATTTACGGACACAAATCCTCCTAACCTCCAATTCTTTAAGTTTCACCATCAACTGAGCTTATTTTTTTCCCTGCAACATGGAAAGGAAAGCCTCTAAAAACTATTGAGCCGTTTTGGAGAGTTTCCATAAATTTTGGATCTTTGGGGCCCAGATCTGAGACTAACTTTAAAGGCATAGACTTAAAAAACCAAGGGAAAAATCGAGGGTAGAATAGGAGTGTATGAAAATTACATACTGCCTTAGCAGAGAAAAAGGCGTGCATGAACGTTTGGGAGAAAAAACTCATCGTATTAATAAAACAACTAACGGTGTCAAGTAAAATTTTAGCTGTGACAACAACATTTTCATAATTTTTTTTAGTTATGAGCAGCAGAGGAAGTTAATTCACATCCAAGAAACTTCCGTCGCGTCGTCACGACTGAAAGTTGATTTGATGAAGCACGTCGTTTCTTCTTCGCAATCTTTCTCTTAGCACAATGAATCAATCTGCAGGCTCAATTTCAACTCTTAGCCGTTTTGCCTTTTTTTTCTTTTTTTTAACACGGAGGAAAGTGTGTTAAACGGACCCCTGTAGACTTAGGTCATCGTAGCTCTGGTAGTATTTACCATGAGCCAACATGATACCCGTCACAGTTAGGTGAATGATACTGGCAGACTGATTGGTCAAGTTTTGTGTTTGACGACCGGATAGGATAAGATTAAGGAGACTTGAGTCACGTGATTGGTGAGCTTTATCCTTCGCCCTATTTGTCGAGCCTATGAAGGATGTAATTAACGAGAGGATAAAGGCACCTCTTGAGTTGCCGATACTTTGTCCTCAAATCCGTGTCAAATCCATCCATTATCAGCAATACAAAGAGGACCTAGGATAAATCTTACCAATCACATAACTTGATTTTCCTTAATCTTATCTTATTTGGTCAACAAACGCAAAATTTCAACAATCAGGCTCCAGCACTTTAATTACCTATGCCAAAATATATACTTAAATTCAACATCTGGTAGACTTTTAGAAACAAGGTGGTCAAAGCGTGTTTGGATCCACACCATTTTGCGAGGAAAACAAAGCCAAACAGTTCAAAAATTTCAATCAGAGTCAAAAATTGTGTATTCTAATGAGTACCAGTGCAAAACTAAGGGGGAGGGTGTGTTCAGCTCCAATTAAATTTGTTGAAATTTTTGGCTTTGTTTCCCTTGCGAACTGGTGTGGACCGAGCACCATTTCACTATCTTGTTACCTACAGTTCGGGGCATTTCCTAGTATTTTTTCTTTTGTAGTTATACTTACTAACTCAGTGAGAGTTAGCATTCTTTTTTCTTTGGCGTGAAGTTTTCTCATTGTGGCAACGGCGGAGAGCGGCGAGGAAATGAGAGCAATTTCCAGAAGCGCCCCTGTCTTTGCCGTCATTGCGAGCAGCGATAGGGCACTCTTCCCGGGGGTGAAAATGGGAGACAATGAGTGAAGAAGCTCATTCGCGGCGGCGGCTGTACGGAACAACTCTTTTTCGAAATCACGAGCTGAGCGATGCTGCGGTGGTGCGGTGGTGCGGTGGTGCGGTGGTGCGGTGGTGCGGTAATCTCGGGAGACGGGGTGACAAGACTCCAGCGCTGAGGGAGCGTCAGCCCGAACCCGAACAAAGGCGAGCGAGACGGAACCCTATCTGTCACTTCCTCATGGATTTTTCTTCCTTTCTGGATACTTGAACGTGCTCCCGGAAAATGAGAATCAGACTCCGCCGCGGCTAACGGCTCCGTATGGGAAATAAACGCTTTGGAATTCTTACTCGTTGCACTGTGAAACCTAGCCGGTAGCCGGTAGCCGGTAGTATCATACTGTTTTCGGGCAAATTCGGCCATCCTAAGACGTAATGGCGTATCTCGATTTTCGCAAGAGCCCCAGGTAGCATGGAATTATCTGCAAAACAGGTCAAGTGGGAATGGATCAGTTGCGCTAGTCACAGAATCGTGTTTTCATGCTTTATACTCTCGTAGGTTAACTAAGAACAGTGAGATTCGCCCAAACAGCAACTTTCTACGTTCAATATTAATCGAGATATTGCGCTTTGAAAAACTCAGTTTCTGACAGGCCGAATTTACCTACTTGCCGCCCATGGGCCGCCTGTATTTTGCCGCTTCCTTCTCATTCGTTTTGAAACATCGATACAACTCATTAAATGAACGTGCCCGAGGAGGAGGTGTGCACAAGACGCGTGCTCTTGAGTTGGGCACATTTTTTGTGAAAAGCCCCGTCAGCATTAGCAAAAGTTCACGGAACTTTGCCCAAAAGTTAAGTTCCGTAAACCTATTTCTGTATGGACGAGGCCTTTTATTTATAATAAAAAAACGAAAAAAGTATAAAGAATAAACATGAATGTGGTTCAATGATTTTAATTTCCGCCACCGCGCCACCCGCACTGTGTTTCGTGCAGTGCGTGAAGCATCCCCACAGTCTTGTAGGCGCCATACGTTTCACGCCAACCGCTGCTGACCGCACTGTTTTTGACGCAATGCATGAGGTATTCATGCAGTCTTGTAGGCGCTAAAATGTATTTCATGCTGACCGCCGCGCCGAGGGCTTCTCTTTTCTATTTCAAGTACTCGTCATCATTGTTCTCTGCGCCGCGCCGCTCCAGGCCAAATTGCGTGTTTGGTTTCCCTCTCAATTAGACTAATGAAAGGCGCTGTCTCTTGTATCACCGATAGACGAACAAATTAGAAATTACTATACCCTAATTCTCAGAAAAGGAGATCTTTTTTCGCCTTTTCTCGTTCGTAATGTTTTTTATGAATCAGATTTTTTTCTTGATACCTACATTTGAAAAAATTACAACATTTGCCGCCCCCTAAATGTGCCGCTATGGGCCGCGGCCCACGTGGCCACCCCCTAAACCCGGTCCTATTTTCTGGCGTCACCTACTGCGGTAGTGATACCTTTGGTTTCGTTAACCTTGAATTCATCAATCAGTAATACACACATGCACTGGTTGCTCGACTTAAAATACGGGAAAAACCGAGATGGAAACAACCAAGGGTGTCACTACCAAGGTGGATGACGTCAATAACCGAGTTTTACAAAGCGCAATATCTCGGCTAATATTGAACGTTGAAAGTTGCTGTTTCGGCAGATCTTAATATTGCTCGCTTATCTTCATGGATCATGCATCAAAACGCAATGGACCACTAGACAAGGTACGAATTTAAGCGATCTGATACATGTTTTTTGACCAGAATTTCACGTAGAAAACGATTCACACAACGAAAATTACGGAAACCAACTCCTAACAAAGATATTAACGTTTTTATTTCACACTGGTTACGAGGAATTTGAACTGCCCGCTCACAAGAAACTCAAAACTCTACGTGAGTCAAATCGCCCACTACAACGGTTTCAGCAAGCTTCTCAATCGAGCAATGTTCATTTCCCATCATGTGTTGTTCAAACTATTAGCAATTTGCTATAACTGAGCCAAAGCGTCAAGCTAGAGGTTGCCAGATTTTTATATCGCAAGAGACTGTCATGATAAACGTTTAGCGCGCGATGTGAATCACGCAGAGCATTGAGTTTTCATGAGCGGTTGGTTTGAATTCACACATCAAGAATCATTAAATATCTTCGTAAGGAGTTAATTGCGGTAATTTTTGATGTGCACATCGTGTTCTACGTGAAATTATAGTTAAGAAACATGTATCAGAATGCTGAAATTCGTACCTTGTCTAGTGGTCCATTATGTGACTAGCGCAACTGACCCATTGCAATACGCTCTCACGTCAGAGGTGCGACAAGTATGCTTTTCAAGTTTCCATAATTTATTACTTTCTAGCTAGTGACGGTGACTTATATCGGCATTTGGAATTCAATTTCCGATGTAAGACGCCGCTAGTAACCAGATAGTAATAACGAAGACTTCACATGCATTTTTCTTGAAACGCAATTTTTCGATCTGGGCCTTTTCCCGGGAATTTATTCAATTTTTTATCTTCAGTGGGTACCTATTTTGGGCAGCAGGGATGAAAACCTGCAATCTCCGTTTTTTCGGAGACGTCGAGGTATATGATGAATTACTGATCATAGCCTACTATGAGACCATTCAGAATTGACCACTAGACAAGGTACGAATTTCAGAAATCGAATTCAAATTTCTGCTTCATCTCATGATTCCCCTTCTACAAATATCCAAAACATTCTAGTTATTATCATTTTCCTTCTTTGTTGCAGGTATGATTTCCCATCACGTATCTTAGATGCATGGTTCCTAAATGTACTATCATTTGGTAAGTTGTTTTACATATGCTTTGAATTTTTATATCTTGCACTGCAAAATACTTAAAAAGAACTTTTCACCAATCCAACGGTTCTTCAACCATATTCCCTCAATATGGCTCTCTGCTTCAATAAGTTCGAGTTTTTTGCTGTAAATTTATGGTTTTAGTTGGAGCCTTAGCAAATACTGATCATTTTACATACCTCCGAATAACCAAAACCCATGCTGCCAATTTGCGATACTCGGCATTGAGCTTTGCTTAACTTTTTAGCGAATAATGGATACAAATTCCCCTTCAACTTTATAGAAGTTTAGTATTTTGTCCAGATTTGCACACTTATTAATTAGGTGAAAATTGTAATCCCTTCAAATTTAAGTTTTATTTTCTTTTTAAGCCTTTAAGAGCTTGAACTTACTTCTCTGCGTAGAATACAATGGATTAACAAAATCTGTCTTCGCCTTCGGTAAAATTATGTACTCCGGAAACTATTCAGCGAAATTCAGCTGCACCATAGTAATACTTCTTTAAGTTTCCTAGCAGTGCATGCAAGATTGACTATAAAAAGCATAACGACGGCTTTGTCTGAAAACCGAGGGAGAACAAAGCGCAAAATAAATTAGGTAGTTCTTCAGGTCAACAAAGCTCTTGCTTATAGTGAGCTCACAAAGCATAATAATCAGATAGAATTCCTTTGGAAGGAATTCGGCATCAATGTAAACCACAAAGCAAACGTCAACCTTTGACCGGGAATCATGCACGACACTGCCAATTAGCCTAAACAAAAATTTGCCATTTCGTTTTATCCCCTCCAACAAATATTTATGCTCTTTCCATAACCTGGCAACTTGGAACGCATTTATTCGCAACCGACACAGTGGAACAAGTCTTTGGAAGAAGCTGGACATGAAATTGTTTTGAGAAAAATCGCAAATTTTGAGGTTCGTCACATTTTAAAGTTTAAGGAGTGCTTCTTAAATAAAAATAAACGAGGAAACCGATGGAACCGTTTTAAAGCCTCAAAGTTATGTATGAACGGAGTGATAAGCTTTTAAACTTTCCAAATTTTGTCCGGCCTCTCTCATTGACTCGATTCACTGTGTACTGGACAAAAGTGGCGCGTCGTATGCAATTATTCAGTCGCTTCAAAACCGTCGACATCAAAATATCTGTATCGTATGGCAAAATGACGCTTTATTTAAACAGCATTGTAGAACTCAGTGCGAAATTCATTCCTCATTGTACGTTGAATTGTAAGTGCTTGAAAGGATGATATGCACCAGGCACCTGTGCTGAGAAAAAACGCCATATCAACATCTGGACGTTGCAAAATTTCCTCCTATGAAATAAAACAGTTCTTGAGAGCTGGCAAGTTTTTTTCTTTGAAATTTTCACAAAAATTTATTTGCAGGCCAGTCCCATACTTTTGAAAATCTCAAAGAAAAATATTCACAAACTCTCTCAGAAATGAAAAAAAAAAAAAAAAAAAAAAAAAAAAAAAAAAAAAAAAANAAAAAAAAAAAAAAAAAAAAAAAAAAAAAAAAAAAAAAAAAAAAAAACTATGGGGAAAAATTTGGCAATATCCGAATAATCATGTCTATCCTTAGCACGGTAGTGTGAGACGAGACTTGAAACCAATTCCCCGTTTTGTCATGGGAACGGAGTTCCCCATGATATTACAATCGTTCCGTTGCTTTCGCTATGGGATTCCCTATACCTCTGCGACCTTGAGCGTTTCGCCCAGTCTCCGATTTTTGGTTGATTATCCGATGTATCAAAAACCGTTGTATTTTTTAGCCAATCATGTCTCTACGTCAAGTTGTGTTGATTTCTAAAATTCGCTTTCAGCGAGTTTTTTTCCACATTGAGATGTCGTGTCTGACTGGTAAATCTGCGCAGAACCACGAAGTTCCGTTTTTAGGCAAATTCTTTTTTTTGGGAGGTTTTCATTGGCTATTTTTCGCCATCAGTTTTCTGTTCGTTGGTGCAAAAGATCGCCTACTTCGTTGCTCTTGAGAAGCCGCCATTATCCCACCTCAAATTTTAAACATAGAAATAAAGAAATTATAACTATTGTGCAAGGTGGAAAACTGCTCTGGAGGACCCGTTACGGATATATGAGCCAAAATCGGAACTCGATTGATTGATTTATTCCATAAATACAGAAATATTGCCTGAGCTTATTACCGCGATGGCAAATGCCTGCTGATATGAACCTTGAGACACATGATAGCATAGGCAAACAATGTCTCACAGAGAAAGACGCTTAGCTCGTTTCTCCAGAAGCTACGAAGACGCGAATCGCCGAATCGCTCAAGGACAACTCTTGTGATAAGTCCCGCCCATCGTCCGAGTCTTTTAAATGCTATTTTTTCTCGTCCTGTCGCTGATCTGTGATAGCCTAGTTGACTGAGGCGCCTCATATTTTGATAGGGTGCGGGCAATAGGTGATCGGGAGTTCGATACTCGACGATGGGAGTTAATTTTTAATGGTTGTATTGAATGTTTTAGACCAATCATCAAAAAATAATTAATACTAGATGATAAATGTACGAACATTTTCTCGTGAGTTAATATGTTAAACAAAAATACTGGAATATACCTCCTTCATATAATCAGCCACATGTTCCCCCAAACATAGGCGGTTCTAGACCTTCATGCTTGGGGGTGCCCAGAGGTGGAAAATGTCAGAGACCGGCTCCGAAGGGGACGGTCACTTAGGGGAGGCCTAAGTTTCGGCCCTCAAGTTTTATCCCTTTCCTACCTTCCTTTCTATTTTTCTCTCCTTCCTTTCTACTTAAATACGTATAAATTCAATTTTGAAAATTTTTAGCAAAACTTTCCATCAAAACTACAATCTTACCATAAAAAAACAGTAGAATCTTTGTAATACACGGCTATCAATATTAATTCTGTTTAAAACATTTTCAATTAATTGCTGGGATTTTTTCTCAAGCGAATACAGAATCTTTAAAATCAGTAATTTCACGGTTCCGATAACCGTACTTAATTTTTGCTTGGGGGTGCCCGGCACCCACTGGCACCCCCGTAGAACCGCCTATGCCCCCAAATTAATGACGTTATTTTCTTTTTTCAATAAAGTTAATTTGCATTCAACGTTCGTAAGTTAAGCAAAA